CGTCTGCGGCATATGCGAGGCTGGCTAACATCAGAACGGCGTTCAGGAACCTGTGTAAGGAATCATTCAGAATCTTGTACACCACATATGTAAGACCAATCCTGGAGTATGCGGCCCCAGCATGGAGCCCGTACCTTGTCAAGCACAAGACGAAGCTGGAAAAAGTCCAAAGGTATGCTACTAGACTAGTCCCGGAACTAAGAGGCATGAGTTATGAGGAAAGGCTGCGGGAAATGCACCTTACGACACTGGAAGACAGAAGAGTAAGGGGAGACATGATCACAACCTACAAAATCCTCAGGGGAATCGACCGCGTAAACAAGGATGAACTATTCAACACTGGTGGGACGCGAACAAGGGGACACAGGTGGAAGCTGAGTACCCAAATGAGCCACAGAGACGTTAGAAAGAACTTTTTCAGTGTCAGAGTAGTTAGTAAATGGAATGCATTAGGAAGTGATGTGGTGGAGGCTGACTCCATACACAGTTTCAAATGTAGATATGATAGAGCCCAATAGGCTCAGGAATCTGTACACCAGTTGATTGACGGTTGAGAGGAGGTGAGTACAATTAGGTGAGTACACACACACACACACGAGCGTGGAACCCAGACCCATAAACACCTGCTGGATAAGACAGGTATGAAGAAGCACGGCTGAATTTTCTGACGTAGACTTAACTAAAATGTATTTCCTTATTATTTACAAGGGCAAACATTTTTATTTTATTAGCGCGAATTTTACATTCCTTACAAGACGCTGTCTACCTTTAGCTGTGATCTTAAGTGGCTGATTAGTTCTTTATCTTACAGCTGTTGTTGAGAACGCCACACCAGCCTCTTACACAGACGTAGGGCAGTTGGGTGCGTTCTCTGACAATCACGAATCCCGGGCAGGACAGAAATGGTTGGGCACCCGTTCTTTCACCTAGTGCCGCTGTTCACATAAGAGTGAATAGGTGAAGAGTGGAATCTTGTCGAATTGGGTTGTGGTATTGACCAGGTTGACCTTGTGATGATTACGGGGCTCAACGTCCCCGCGGCCCGGTCCTCGACCAGGAGGTGTCGATAGAGAATGGAGGGAGGAGGAGGTAGGGGAGGGTGCTGAAAAGGCTGAAGAAAGAAGGCACAATAATATGAAAGAATGGAATTATCTGAGAACAGAGAGGGAGTGACGGGGGGGGGGGGGGTCGCTGAGTCTGCTGATTAAACGTCGGAAGTGGAACAAAGAATATATCACGGCGGATATTACGCTGAGGGAGGAGGTCCAACATGGCGGACCAGGTGCTGACCTGCGGGATATTACGCTGAGGGAAGAGGTCCAACATGGCGGACCAGGTGCTGACCTGCGGGATATTACGCTGAGGGAAGAGGTCCAACATGGCGGACCAGGTGCTGACCTGCGGGATATTACGCTGAGGGAGGAGGTCCAACATGGCGGACCAGGTGCTGACCTGAGCACCTGCAAGTCTCTCTCACCAATCCGTCCTCTTAACGTTTGCCAACGTCGAGAAACTGTCGTACTAAAGTGCCCCTTATCCTAACCTACCAGAAGGACGCAAAACAGAAAACGGGACAATACGTCAATTTTGCGAGCCACTGCCATTTTCTAGTACGACGATTGTTGGCCTTAGGCAGAGTGTACGTCAAAATGCGACGTTCTATTAGGAAGACGGGTTGCCCTCACACGCCTGGGGGCTATCCTGACCCCCTATGACCGTTCCCTCCCAACCACCAGTCATGCTGCAAAGTTTGGCCTCCCTAGCCCCAGGCGCCTACCTATACTACCAGCTCTGTCTGTCTATACTACCAGCTCTGTCTATACTACCAGCTCTGTCTGTCTATACTACCAGCTCTGTCTGTCTATACTGCCAGCTCTGTCTATACTGCCAGCTCTGTCTGTCTATACTGCCAGCTCTGTCTGTCTATACTACCAGCTCTGTCTGTCTATACTGCCAGCTCTGTCTATACTGCCAGCTCTGTCTGTCTATACTGCCAGCTCTGTCTATACTACCAGCTCTGTCTATACTGCCAGCTCTGTCTGTCTATACTACCAGCTCTGCCTACCTATACTGCCAGCTCTGTCTGTCTATACTACCAGCTCTGCCTACCTATACTACCAGCTCTGCCTGCCTATACTTCCAGCTCTGCCTGCCTATACTACCAGCTCTGTCTACCTATACTACCAGCTCTGTCTGTCTATACTACCAGCTCTGCCTACCTATACTACCAGCTCTGCCTACCTATACTACCAGCTCTGCCTACCTATACTACCAGCTCTGCCTACCTATACTACCAGCTCTGCCTACCTATACTACCAGCTCTGCCTGCCTATACTACCAGCTCTGCCTACCTATACTACCAGCTCTGCCTACCTATACTACCAGCTCTGCCTACCTATACTACCAGCTCTGCCTGCCTATACTACCAGCTCTGCCTACCTATACTACCAGCTCTGCCTACCTATACTACCAGCTCTGCCTACCTATACTACCAGCTCTGCCTACCTATACTGCCAGCTCTGTCTGTCTATACTACCAGCTCTGTCTATACTGCCAGCTCTGTCTGTCTATACTACCAGCTCTGCCTACCTATACTACCAGCTCTGCCTACCTATACTACCAGCTCTGCCTGCCTATACTACCAGCTCTGCCTACCTATACTACCAGCTCTGCCTACCTATACTACCAGCTCTGCCTGCCTATACTACCAGCTCTGCCTACCTATACTACCAGCTCTGCCTACCTATACTACCAGCTCTGCCTACCTATACTGCCAGCTCTGTCTGTCTATACTACCAGCTCTGTCTATACTGCCAGCTCTGTCTGTCTATACTACCAGCTCTGCCTACCTATACTACCAGCTCTGCCTACCTATACTACCAGCTCTGCCTACCTATACTACCAGCTCTGCCTACCTATACTGCCAGCTCTGTCTGTCTATACTACCAGCTCTGTCTATACTACCAGCTCTGTCTATACTGCCAGCTCTGTCTGTCTATACTACCAGCTCTGCCTACCTATACTACCAGCTCTGCCTACCTATACTACCAGCTCTGTCTACCTATACTACCAGCTCTGCCTGCCTATACTACCAGCTCTGTCTACCTATACTACCAGCTCTGCCTACCTATACTACCAGCTCTGCCTACCTATACTACCAGCTCTGCCTACCTATACTACCAGCTCTGCCTACCTATACTACCAGCTCTGCCTGCCTATACTACCAGCTCTGCCTACCTATACTACCAGCTCTGCCTACCTATACTACCAGCTCTGCCTACCTATACTGCCAGCTCTGTCTGTCTATACTACCAGCTCTGTCTATACTGCCAGCTCTGTCTGTCTATACTACCAGCTCTGCCTACCTATACTACCAGCTCTGCCTGCCTATACTACCAGCTCTGCCTGCCTATACTACCAGCTCTGTCTACCTATACTACCAGCTCTGTCTGTCTATACTACCAGCTCTGCCTGCCTATACTACCAGCTCTGCCTGCCTATACTACCAGCTCTGTCTGCCTATACTACCAGCTCTGCCTGCCTATACTACCAGCTCTGCCTACCTATACTACCAGCTCTGCCTACCTATACTACCAGCTCTGCCTGCCTATACTACCAGCTCTGCCTACCTATACTACCAGCTCTGCCTACCTATACTACCAGCTCTGCCTGCCTATACTACCAGCTCTGCCTACCTATACTACCAGCTCTGCCTACCTATACTACCAGCTCTGCCTACCTATACTACCAGCTCTGCCTGCCTATACTACCAGCTCTGCCTACCTATACTACCAGCTCTGCCTACCTATACTACCAGCTCTGCCTACCTATACTGCCAGCTCTGTCTGTCTATACTACCAGCTCTGTCTATACTGCCAGCTCTGTCTGTCTATACTACCAGCTCTGCCTACCTATACTACCAGCTCTGCCTACCTATACTACCAGCTCTGCCTACCTATACTACCAGCTCTGCCTACCTATACTACCAGCTCTGCCTACCTATACTACCAGCTCTGCCTACCTATACTACCAGCTCTGCCTACCTATACTGCCAGCTCTGTCTGTCTATACTACCAGCTCTGTCTATACTGCCAGCTCTGTCTGTCTATACTACCAGCTCTGCCTACCTATACTACCAGCTCTGCCTGCCTATACTACCAGCTCTGTCTACCTATACTACCAGCTCTGCCTACCTATACTACCAGCTCTGCCTGTCTATACTACCAGCTCTGCCTGTCTATACTACCAGCTCTGCCTGCCTATACTACCAGCTCTGCCTACCTATACTACCAGCTCTGCCTACCTATACTACCAGCTCTGCCTGCCTATACTACCAGCTCTGCCTACCTATACTACCAGCTCTGCCTACCTATACTACCAGCTCTGCCTACCTATACTGCCAGCTCTGCCTACCTATACTACCAGCTCTGCCTGCCTATACTACCAGCTCTGCCTACCTATACTACCAGCTCTGCCTACCTATACTACCAGCTCTGCCTACCTATACTACCAGCTCTGCCTACCTATACTACCAGCTCTGCCTACCTATACTACCAGCTCTGTCTACCTATACTACCAGCTCTGCCTACCTATACTACCAGCTCTGCCTACCTATACTACCAGCTCTGCCTGCCTATACTATAAGCTCCGTCTGCCCATCAGGCCAGCACACCTAACCTATCGAGGCCACTGTATGGAAAACGTCAGAATCACGGAGTTAAATTTTACTAAAACGTCACATTTAAAATGATTGGGTGACTCCGTACTAAAATACGACGCGTGTGAGAGGACACGTTTGATATGAGAGTAACTACAAATGCAGGTACCGCTCGGGGGGGTCGTAGTTCCAAGGGCCCGGGTTCGATTCCCAATCGAGGAAATAAGTGAGCCGAGTTTCTTTCACGTGATGCATCTGTTCAACTAGCCGTAAATAGGTACCTGGGAGTTAGCTTCAAGGGGGGCTGCTTCCTGGGGATGTACTCACCTAGTTCTGCTTACGGGGGTTGAGCTTCGGCTCTTGTGTGTGTGTGCTTCTTAAATTAATATATGTAGTAGACATATCTTGAGGTTATCTTGAGATGATTTCGGGCCTTTAGTGTCCCCGCGGCCCGATCCTCGACCAGGCCTCCACCCCCAGGAAGCAGCCCGTAGCAGCTGTCTAACCCCCAGGTACCTATTTACTGCTAGGTAACAGGGCATCAGGTGAAATAAACAGTTTGCCCATTTGTCTCCGCCTCCACCGGGAATCGAACCCGGAACCTCAAGACTACGAATCCGAAGCGCTGTCCACCCAGCTATCAGGCACCCAGACATAGGAGGAAAAAATTACATTGATTAGAAAGGCGGGGCCCAAGAGCTAATAGATCAATTCTGCAGCACAAGTGATAAATACAGTCTACAGTTGTTGACCAGCAGAGTCAGCTGACCATAATGCAATATACATTCATCAGCGCTTTGTTGATCTCTGTTGACTAGTGACTTTTAAACCTTGCTGTGTTGCATATTCACACCTGCTGTGTTGAGTTGACTATTGTACTATTGTGTTGTGTTTGTCCCTTTGTCTATAACAACTGCTATGTTGATGTTGTTTAATTATAGGTGTAACCAGGTCGTTCCCTATTCTACACTGTTCTTTGTTTGTTCTCTAGTTCTTAGTGTTTTGTCTCTCCTTTCTGTGTTAATCTCCCCCCCCCCCTGGTTCTTACTATATCTTAGTTTTGTCTCTCCTGTGTTCTCTGTTCTTCTCGTGTTTCTGCTGTTCTTCCCTTGCCCACTTGTTCTGTTGTTCCTCGTGTTAGTCCTATGTGCCTGTTGCCTTGTATATCGCACAAGACGAACCATCGCCACTCCATCTCTAATACCGGTTTACTTATCAACCAGCAAGTATACTTTAGCCTCCAGACCTACTCCAGGACTGATGTAAACTCCGTCTATATCTACCGAGAAATTGTGTGTGTGTGTGTGTGTGTGTGTGTGTGTGTGTGTGTGTGTGTGTGTGTGTGTGTGTGTGTGTGTGTGTGTGTGTGTGTGTGTGTGTGTACTCGCCTAATTGTACTTGCGGGGGTTGAGCTTTGGCTCTTTGGTCCCGCCTCTCAACTGTCAATCAACTGTGTGTGTGTATCCCCGCCCCTATCTAGAGGATAGACCAGGAATATCAACATGGTTTTTGCCACTGGAAAGTTCAACTTGCAATCAATGGAGCATAATCATCTTACTCATTATTCACTCTGCCCATTGTCGCGGAGTGCAGGTAATTCAATTTTCGCCAGGTGAAGGTAGTTAAATTTCAGGAAGCGCAGGTAATTCATTAAGGGGGGGGGGCGGGTAATCCAGAGGACGCTTGCTAAATATATGATCAATCTGAGTGGTACGCAGTCACCGCTCCTTGTGTCTGTGTGTGTCTAACTGGCTGGTGAGTGGGTGGGAACTGGTTGGTGAGTGGGCGGGAACTGACTGGTGAGTGGGCGGGAACTGGTTGGTGAGTGGGCGGGAACTGGCTGGTGAGTGGGCGGGAACTGGTTGGTGAGTGGGCGGGAACTGGTTGGTGAGTGGGCGGGAACTGGTTGGTGAGTGGGCGGGAACTGGTTGGTGAGTGGGCGGGAACTGGTTGGTGAGTGGGCGGGAACTGGTTGGTGAGTGGGCGGGAACTGGTTGGTGAGTGGGCGGGAACTGGTTGGTGAGTGGGCGGGAACTGGCTGGTGAGTGGGCGGGAACTGGCTGGTGAGTGGGCGGGAACTGGCTGGTGAGTGGGCGGGAACTGGCTGGTGAGTGGGCGGGAACTGGCTGGTGAGTGGGCGGGAACTGGCTGGTGAGTGGGCGGGAACTGGCTGGTGAGTGGGCGGGAACTGGTTGGTGAGTGGGCGGGAACTGGCTGGTGAGTGGGCGGGAACTGGCTGGTGAGTGGGCGGGAACTGGTTGGTGAGTGGGCGGGAACTGGTTGGTGAGTGGGCGGGAACTGGCGGACGAGAGGGCGGGAACTGGCGAACGAGAGGGCGGGAACTGGCGGACGAGAGGGCGGGAACTGGCGGACGAGAGGGCGGGAACTGGCGGACGAGAGGGCGGGAACTGGCGGACGAGAGGGCGGGAACTGGCGGACGAGAGGGCGGGAACTGGCGGACGAGAGGGCGGGAACTGGCGGACGAGAGGGCGGGAACTGGCGGACGAGAGGGCGGGAACTGGCGGACGAGAGGGCGGGAACTGGCGGACGAGAGGGCGGGAACTGGCGGACGAGAGGGCGGGAACTGGCGGACGAGAGGGCGGGAACTGGCGGACGAGAGGGCGGGAACTGGCGGACGAGAGGGCGAGAACTGGCGGACGAGAGGGCGGGAACTGGCGGACGAGAGGGCGGGAACTGGCGGACGAGCGGGCGGGAACTGGCGGACAAGAGGGCGGGAACTGGTTGGCGAGTGGGCGGGAACTGGTTGGCGAGTGGGTGGGAACTGGCGGACGAGAGGGCGGGAACTGGCGGACGAGAGGGCGGGAACTGGCTGACGAGCGGGCGATTTCCTACTACGTAACAAATGCAACTGTTTTTGCTTAACCAGAAACGTATCAATTGAAGCAGCCTAACATCTCGAGGCCGACCCATAGAAAACGTTGAAATATTAATAACACATCATCTTTTTTAACCCCAACTTTTCTATTCCGTTAACGAATGCATCGTGTTATACGTGAGGACGGGTTTCTCACCGTGTGTGAAACATTATACTTGTAGTATTTTCTCCTCGCTAGAACTTAAAATTTGAAGTGGTTTTCTCCTCGTCAGAACTTAAAATTTGAAGTGGTTTTCTCCTCGCTAGAAGTTAAAATTTGAAGTGGTTTTCTCCTCGCTAGAACTTAAAATTTGAAGTGGTTTTCTCCTCGTCAGAACTTAAAATTTGAAGTGGTTTTCTCCTCGCTAGAAGTTAAAATTTGAAGTGGTTTTCTCCTCGCTAGAACTTAAAATTTGAAGTGGTTTTCTCCTCGTCAGAACTTAAAATTTGAAGTGGTTTTCTCCTCGCTAGAAGTTAAAATTTGAAGTGGTTTTCTCCTCGCTAGAACTTAAAATTTGAAGTGGTTTTCTTCACGCCAGAACTTAAAATTTGAAGTGGTTATGGGACCAATATTTGCCAGAAGCTAATATTAGCCCCCTTGAAGACCCACCTTCCCTAATAAATCCCGATGCTTGTTAGTCTCAGGATGCGTACATTTTGTGGCGTTTTAAAACTGCATAATCCTTTTCAATTTTTACGTTGTAATTTATAGCGTAAAAATTGTGGTGTAATAAGTGGGAGGACAGGTTGAACAGAGGGGAGGCGTGGCACCTTGGACGGCTGCCAGTCTCCCACTCTCACTGTGCTCTCCCTTTGTCCGCCCTGGCACTAGTGGGAGTGAGTGAGTGCGTGTGTGAGAGAGAGTGAGTGTGAGTGCATGGGAGTGTGAAAGAGAGTGACAGCAATTTCCCCCCTTCCCATCATCTTATTTTAATGTTGTGATCGTGGGAGAATACAACAACCTACTGCTCTGGTTATGGTGAGCGACTCCAAACCTGCAGTCTCGTCCTCTGTACAGTCCCTGAGATTATTTGACGTGATCCCATCAGCATTTGTACGGATTTTCGGTCAACTTTTGTGTTCCATGTTTACCGTCTCCCACACCAGCCATCCTTCGTATTCCGTAGTGTTGAGAGGGGCTTCAGGTCAGGTGATGAGGGAGGTTATGCCTTAGCTCCTCAACCCCGTCTTTCCTTCCCACATGTATTTGTGTATGGATGTGTGGGTGAGTCTTTCTGTGTGTGTGAGGAGAGAGACAGACAGAGGGAGAGAGAGAGAAATCTGGATATCCTCTTTGTGTACCATAGCGTGTTAGAGCGAACTAAATCTAGCAAAGCGAAAGACTACACAAGAGAACCTGTCCGGAGGGTGAATGGTAATACTGAGAAGCCTCATTAGGACTAAACGATGTACTCAGTTGAGCACAAGGAACATTAGATCAGTATGAGGGAAAATTACCTCTAATTTGGGAGCAGCAGTCGTCGACAGAGCAGTAAACAGCAGGCATTGTGTGTGTAATTACCAACTTGCTCCTCAACCACCCTTTCTAACAAGCCTTATCAGCTCAAAGTTAATGTCTTGACTGACGTATATGGCTCGTAAGGTCTGCATCGAGATTGTGTATCCTAATGATTAGTGCTTAACATACCTAAGGACTCTACTTAAAACGCTTAAAAGGTCCTTAAAATAATGATTATACATTTTTTAAGTAATGTGAGAGAAAAAGAGACCGTAGAGAGAATGTGTGAAGAGACTTTAAGGAAAGCAGAATGAATTGTGGGTGAAAGTAAACGGGGAGCGTGCAACGGTAGTCCTAGGGAGGGTGGTTAAAGGCAGCAAGCAACAGTAGGAAGGGTGGTTGAGGAAGCAGGCAGCAGTTGGCTTTGGGAAGATTAGTTGAGGAAGAAGCCCCGTTAGGCGCTTGGCTTGTTCTGTTGGTCTCTCTAGCTTAAAGCCCTGTTGGTCTCTATGGCTTAATTTGCTGCCCTGTTGGTCTCTATGGCTTAATTTGCTGCCCTGTTGGTCTCTATGGCTTAATTTGCTTCCCTGTTGGTTTCTATAGCTTAATTAGCTGCCCTGTTGGTCTCTCGCTTAATTTGCTGCCCTGTTGGTTTCTGGCTTGCAGTTCTGTTGGTCTCTATGGTTTGCTGCCCTGTTGGTCTCTCTGGCTTAATTTGCAGCGCTGGGAGTCTGTTTCACGTTGCATATATTCACATGAAATGGCATGCACTCTCAATATAAACTAATTTGACTTCATCATCAGTTATAAACGGAATTGGCTTCTTCCTCAATAACGAAAATGAATTCCTTTATTACCAACGAAATTGAATTCTTCCAAATTTACCCAACGTCATTTCCTTGCTTCTTAGTTATCAGACAGGCTTCTCCCCTGTTTGTCAACGGCAATAATGTCTTCTTTCTCAGGGGCGGCCGTTATCAGCACCTTCGCTAGCGCGGTGTCTTGAAGGGGCATCCCGTTGCAAGTTACGATACGGGCTTGCAGAGGTGCAGATAGCGAGGTCCCCCGTGTCCCGTCTCCGCTACTACTGGTGGAGGAGAGGCGTCTTGTCATTAGGTTCCCTCAAGATGTTTTTTAGTGACTACCATGATGTGATATTTTTTAAGTCTTGCGCGAGAATAATTTTCCGCCTTTGTCGTGCATTAATCTGTCTATTTATGTACTTGCCCAGCTACCTACCGTCTAGGCCAAGTGGTTGGGGTGGACGGTAGAGCGACGGTCTCGCTTCATGCAGGTCGGCGTTCAATCCCCGACCGTCCAAGTGGTTGGGCACTATTCCTTACCTCTTTACCCATCCCAAATTCTTATCTCGATCCCTTTCAAGTGCTGTGTAGTGGTAATGGTTTGGCGCTTTCCCTTGATTTGTCCCTGCCCCTCTCCCTCTCCCTCCCTCCCTCCCTCCCTCCCTCCCTCCCTCCCTCCTCTCTCCTCTCTCTCTCTCTCTCTCTCTCTCTCTCTCTCTCTCTCTCTCTCTCTCTCTCTCTCTCTCTCTCTCTCTCTCTCTCTCTCTCTCTCTCTCTCTCTCTCTCTCTCTCTCTCTCTCTCTCTCTCCCTCCCCTCCCTCCCCTCCCTCCCTCCCTCCCTCCCTCCCCTCCCTTCTTCCCCATTCGACGTCAGGGGCTGATAGGGACCCTAGAGAAGTACCAGCACAAAATCACTACCTATTTTCTCCCTGCTCCCCTTTCTCTTTGTCCCAGCTTCCCCGCTTAATTTGCTGTCATTTTCCCCCGCCTCCGTCCTCCCCGTCCCTCCCCACTCCCAGGGAGAGTGATCACAGACCACCGTCAGCGCTCCACCCCTCTACCCCAGTGTGCCCTCGTCATACCAGCGGGGGTCACTCTGGTTAACGTCTATTATATTTATTTACTCCTATTGCTTTCCCATAAAATAACGAAAGGGATAATAAATGGAAACCGTTTTCAAAGTTCGTCCAAACTGTTGTTAAAAGCCGACGTGAAGGGTATTAATAATATGGTACGGGATTCTTTGCCGACGTCACGAAGGATAAATAGACAATCGGATCAGAAAATGTTCGTTTATCTTGCCTGTCTTCAGCCTTGACTTCGACATCCTTCACGCGGGAGGCGGGTAAAAAAAAAAAAAAAAAAAAAAAATAGGCCGGCTTCATCAACAACTGCTTCATTTTATGAGTCATGATGAGTTCCGACCTTGAAGACGCATCACTCACCCTGAATCTTGTCACCTTTTTTATGTTGCAACAGAAAAATTTGCTATTTGGTCTAGAGTAAATGACTTGCCAATTCCTGATTTTCCCTGGGAATTACAAGCTGCTATTTGTTGTATTGTGCTACATCTGTCACTTGTTGTATTGTGCTACATCTGTCACTTGTTGTATTGTGCTGCATCTGTCACTTGTTGTATTGTGCTGCATCTGTCACTTGTTGTATTGTGCTGCATCTGTCACTTGTTGTATTGTGCTGCATCTGTCACTTGTTGTATTGTGCTGCATCTGTCACTTGTTGTATTGTGCTGCATCTGTCACTTGTTGTATTGTGCTACATCTGTCACTTGTTGTATTGTGCTACATCTGTCACTTGTTGTATTGTGCTACATCTGTCACTTGTTGTATTGTGCTACATCTGCTATATGTTGTATTGTGCTACATCTGCTATATGTTGTATTGTGCTACATCTGTCACTTGTTGTATTGTGCTACATCTGCTATATGTTGTATTGTGCTACATCTGCTATATGTTGTATTGTGCTACATCTGCTATATGTTGTATTGTGCTACATCTGCTATATGTTGTATTGTGCTACATGTGCCCAGGAAGGAGGATGGTTAGGAAGTTTTCTTTTAGCGTGAGAGTAGTGGGAAAATGGAATGCACTTCAGGAACAGGTTGTGGAAGCAAATACTATTCATAATTTTAAAACCAGGTATGATAGGGAAATGGGACAGGAGTCATTGCTGTAAACAACCGATGCTCGAAAGGCGGGATCCAAGAGTCAATGCTCGATCCTGCAGACACAATTAGGTGAGTACAATTAAGTGAGCACACACACACACACACACACACACACACACACACACACACACACACACACACACACACACACACACACACACACACACACACACACACACACTGTGAGGTTGTGTCTGACGCGCCATGTGTCCTGGGGTTAGGGACACATGTGTCCTCCTGGGAGTTAGGGACACATGGCTATGTGAGAAGGTGAATGTATAATGTATTACGTCGCTGCCTCCAGCCTCCGTCCGCCAACTGTATGTTCGCTATAGTCATTTGTTGTTGTTTCTCTCGTATAAACACGGGCTCACCATAGCCCGTGCTACCTGGAACTTTTTGTTCCAGGAAGCGAATCTTTAACAACAGCAACAACTCACAGAAATAATATTTTCGCGCTGTCGCGAGAACAGGAAACCTGTTTGGTTTATCGAGGTTACCCCGAGGTCAGGAACCGACCATTCCTTTCC